GAAGAAATGTTTCACTACAATAAATTAAAAGATGATATTTTGAACTGGGATGGTGTAAATTTTCCGACTGGTAATAGGGACATAGACAGATTTGAAGAGAACAATAAATTAGTGTCAATAAATGTTTTTGAACCTGATGACTGCTTAAATGATAAAAAAAATCATATTACATAGAGGCACTAAAAATAGAAATGCTAAGTATGAGATTGATTTGTTAAAGGTCTATGATGAAGACAATAATTATCACTACGCCTTGGTTAGGAACAAAAGCAGATTATTAAACTGTCAAAGCAACAAGGATGATAGTAAAAAACATTATTGCCATCATTGTTTAAATCCTTTCTCAACAGAAAAGGCATATAAGAACCATCTTGAAAAGGGATGTATGGCATCAGACGGACAACAAACAAAGATGCCTGATAAAGACACTTATATAGAATTTGAAAAGCATAATACTAAATTGCCTTGTCCTTTTGTAATCTATGGTGATTTTGAATGTCTAACCACTAACTCTAATACTGGCATGAAAGGCACATATCAAGAACATAAACCGTGCGGTTATATGTTAAATGTAGTAAGCAAGATTGTGAAATTAAAAAACTTCTATGAACTGTTTTTTTTTTTTACATTTTTTCACCCACCCCCAACGTACCCCTGACGTATCGTCTAAGACAACTAGATGTGATGTTAAAGTTGGTGACGTATGAACATACCCCACCCCACCCCACCCCCAAACTCACTTTTGTGGGACGGTAAAAGATCCGTCTGCACAAACATGAACCATGAACAAATGTGTTTTTTTTGGCCAACCATTTTGGGGCCTAGACTTTGAACCCCTGGCACACCTGGGAGAGAATGGGATGCATTCCAGGCATATAATTACTACCCACATGCTTAAATTGTATATATATATATATAATTATACACAATTATACATCAATGTATACATAGATATGGTAGTGGATGTATTTCCCGAAATGGGATATGCTAAACCCATGGTTGGTTTAACATTACTTGCAATTTTGGGTGATTTCTGGTCATCTTTATTCTAGGGCAACACCCATATATATATATATTTATAATATATATAACTCCAGTGATTCTATTTGAAACCATGCCAGAATGGGTTTGAAGATCTACAAGAACACCCCCCAAAAAAAGATACGGAGAAACCCATGGGTTTCCGGTGTTCAGATTTTCCCAAGCGCTTCGCAATTCCCAGCGACGTTCGCGACGTTCGCGAGGCAAAAGTATCTTGAGGTTGTTGTCCATCTCCGGGATGGTGGATCCTCAGTTGGAGATCTATTTGAACATGGTGGAGTCGCCTGGACCCGACGCGGTCGGACTTCGGATTGGTGGATTTTTCATGATTTGAAACGGTCGTTGTTGGGATGAAATACGACCAGTTCCGGTCGCACATTTATCTGGTTGGTGGTTTGGAAGATTTTTTTTCCGTTGGGATGATGATCCAATCTGACGAACTCATATTTTTCAGGGCGGTTGAAAGCACCAATGAGTTATGATTATGACAAACGGGAAACGAGCTTCAAGCAGTATTTTATGAGATGGGATAGGGGGTATTTTGAATGGCTCAGTTGTCCAATTCGAACTCCACTAGTTTGGGAAAAGATTGGACATATCGGAATATGGCCAAGTACCCCAAAATAGTTCTAACTTATCCCCAAAAATCTTCTACTATTGATGATATTCCAAAATGTCACCAGACATTCCCAAATATCTTGCGCCAGTTTCCCAAGTATTCCCAATATATGTATGAACATTCCCATAAACCTTCAGAACTCTTGGATTCAACCCCTACGAGGTCGGTGACCAATTCGCCCGGTTTCAGTGGTGTTTTTTGATTCGCCCATCATAAGCCGTTGATCTGTTCAATGTTGGAGGTCGCCGACAACCGGGGAGTTCATCCTGATAGAACATGGAACATGTGATCCGTACTTATGGGATTTAAACTATGTCTATTACTATTGAACTTGTTATCATTGTTGTACCACCGTTTTTTAATCGTTTTTTTCCCCAAATTCCCAAGTGCCCCCAAGCATGTCAGAAATTCCCAAATATCTTCGGACATTATATCTTCAGAAATATGTTGTTCCCAAATTCTTGTTAAACACCCCAGAAGCCATGCTGGATTTAGGGGGCAAAAACATCAATTTAGGTACCATTTACTAACAATAGGGCTTTAAGTAATATGAATGGGGATGGGATTACCCTCTGGCAATCAAATTTGGCAATGGAAAATCCACTATAAATGGAGGTTTATAGCTGGGAACATCATATGTATATATATATATATATAGAGATAGATAATTTTTCAATTGCGACGTTTGATGAACGGAGGGTCTACATTTGTTCCAACGTGCCACAGCCCATCTAAATTTTCAGCTGAGGCAGGGCATGAGGATGTTCCGAGGTGTACAAGTGAGCCTCCGCCGCAAGACTGGTGAGCTGGTGGAGAGTCAGGTGTACATCAAGAAGGCCGCCCTGCCAGGCGCACCGCCGTTTCTTTTTTTTTTGTTGGCTTTTTTTCTTGTGATCTTATGAAGATGGCGGATCTTTATGAACATGATGGAACATGGGAGGAGATGCCATCAGAAATGGGGATTTGAATGACCAAGATAAATTGGAGTTGAATGGCAATTTTACTTGCTTCTTTTTGAGAACATGATTTGTAAATGGGGATCCAGCGGGGATACAAGGCGGATAAACTTCCATCAATGTATAGGATATCACCACCCCTTTAAGGTTGCTTTTGAGGGGGGACCATACCAAAATGTAAGATACATTTCTTGCCCCACCCGCGTAAATGTAAGATTGGTCGCTGAACGTCCCCCAGGATTTTTGTGGGGAGGGTCTTCAAAATACCTTCAAAATGTAAGCTTACAATTTTAAAGTCCCCCTCAAAAACACCTTGAAAAATGTAGCTTACATTTTGGGTACGTCCCCCCCTTAAAACGGGTGGTTTTTGTAGGATATCAATGGGGTGTGACTTCTATAGAACTGTGGCATTAATGTGGGATAGGACCCCCGTGGAAATGTTCTTTACAGCAATCTGGGGGTATCATATGGGATGATCTGAGATATATCAGCAACATTCACCAAACATATGCTAGTTGGGTGTGTCTGAACATCGAAATGTACACCTGCAAAAAATGCATAACGCAAGGATTAACCACTAGATTTAGAGGTGTCCTATTTTCAGACAATCCCAAACAACCGGGAATGTAGATTAATTACTTACCAAGCAAATTCAGAAGGGTAGTTCGAATTACTGTTTGTAGATTGCTGGAACGGATAAGTTGTCATTCATCTGTGTGCGTTGCTGTGGGGTTCTTTCTTGTGTTTCATTTTGGGTCCTGGTCCTGCTCCAGTGTTTACCGTTGGAATCTGCTATGTTCACCTTGTACGGACAGCTGGTTTTGTAAACAACAACACCTCGCTTCGTTAGCGAAAAAAATCCTGGGATGTGGAGCGACAAGTGGGAGGAAGACACAATCCCGATTGATGGGTCTGTTCCAATGCCGAAGAAATCTTTGGATTCATAACTAATGCCTTCCCTCTAATGATACGACAGTGCCAGAAACCCTGCAGTATTCAATCGGCCCATTTTGGGGATATCACCATTGAATATCATTAAAATCTAACGGTTGATAGGGGGGTTAAACATGGCACAAAAAAAGGCCCTTGTGGGGGGGTACCTAATCAACAGCTGGCGGTGCGAGGAGCTGCCGGTGAAGTTGAAGAAGTTCTTCTCTTCTACTTCTCTGATCTTGGAGTTGTGGATGAGGTGCGGGGGATGGGTGGCACCTCCTCTTCCAAGGTGCTGCCAAGGGTTCAAGGCTTGAATTTGGTGAAAAGTTGGGAGTCTACTACTGTATCCCTCTGAGAGATGAGTGTTTGAGTTTTGGGGTATCTAAGGCTGGTCATGGCATCACCACCAATGATACCAATGTCAACATCTATATTATCTATATTATCTATATTATCTACATTATCTACCTATCTACCTATCTGGCTATCTGGCTATCTAGCTATCTAGCTATCTAGCTATCTAGCTATCTAGCTATCTAGCTATCTAGCTATCAATCAATCTATCTGTCTTTCTATCTATCGATCTACTAATCTACCAATCTAATCCAATCCAATCCAATCTGTCTAATCCAATCTAATCTTATCCAAGTAGTACCCGGGCAAGCCGGGGGCGGAAGTTTCAAATTTGAAACGCTTATAGCCTATAGAGCGGAACAAAGGCTGTGCCTATAGGTGACAGGCAAGCCTTCTGTGCATCGCAGCAGCAAGCTCTTGACTTGTCAATCTGATGCCATGTCTTTCGAATGTTGAATCTTTTCTCATTTCATCTGATCTCGTCGCATCGCAGCTTCTCTTGGAAATTGCTCATTGCATCCCTCTCACCGCAGTCTGTGTCATCTCATCTCACCTCAACCCATCTCATGTCTTCTGAGTTTGTTTCACCTCATCTCATCTCATCCCATCTGATGTCTTCTCTCCCTTTCTCAGCTCTTCTCAGGTGATCACACCTGTTCTCATCTCATCTCAGCTTATCTCAGCTTTTCAGATTTTCACAGCTCTTCTCAACTCTTCTCAGCTCTCTGCAGCTCATGTAAGCTCATCTTACGTGTTCTCATCTCTTCTCTCATCTTCTCACATCTTCTGAGCTCTTCTCACCGCATTCTCACATCATCTCACCTTTTCTCTGGCCCAAAACCTGCTCCAAAAACGGATCTCGGCGCCAAAGCAAGCAACCCTTACGCTTTCCGCAGAGAAGATTTGACACAGAGAAGCTTTTACACACAGCAAGCTCTTACACAGAGAAGCTTTTACACACAGCAAGCTTTTACACAGAGAAGCTTTTACACAGAGACGCATTTACACAGAGAAGCTTTTACACACAGAAGCATTTACACACAGCAAACTTTTACAGAGAGAAGCTTTTACACAGAGAAGCTTTGCACACAGAAGCTTTTACACACAGCAAACTTTTACAGAGAGGCATTTAAACAGACAAGCTTTTGCACACAGAAGGTTTTACAGGGAGCAAGCTTGTACACAGAGAAACTTTTACACAAAGCAAGCTTTTACACAGCAAACTTTCACACACAGCCAGCTTTTACACAGAAAAGCTTTTGCACACAGAAAGCTTTCACACAGAGAAGGCCAGACACAGAGAAGCTTTTACACACAGAAGCTTTTACACAGAGAGGCTTCTTCACAGAGAAGCATTTACACTGAGAAGCTTTTACACAGAAGCTTTTACACACAGCAAGCTTTTAAACTCAGAAAATCAGCTGACAAATCACTATCGCAGCCTTGATGCAGCCACTCCAATACGATGTGCGATGTCCAGCTGCAAAAGACAATAGTATTACGCAAGCAGCCGCGGCGCCAAGCAACCTTGACGCAGCCATCACAATGCGATTTGCAAAGACTGAGTTGCGACACACAATAGAACTACGCGCAACGGCGTCAGAAATTGCAGCTCCAAAACTGGATCTCGACGCCAAAGCAAAAAAAATACTTTACTTCGTGTGATCCCCACCATGACATTTATACATTTTCTTACTGGCAAATCTTCTGGCATTCTATCTGACATATCTTCTGCCGTTCTATCTGGCATTCTATCTGGCATATCTTCTGGCATATGTTCTGGCATATCTTTTGGCATTCTATCTGGCAAATCTTCTGGCATTCTATCTGACATATCTTCTGGCATTCTATCTGGCATATCTTCTGGCATATGTTCTGGCATATCTTCTGGCATTCTATCTGGCAAATCTTCTGGCATTCTATCTGGCATATCTTCTGGCATTCTATCTGACATATCTTCTGGCATTCTATCTGGCATATCTTCCGGCATTCTACCTGGCCGTTGAGGTCCGGCAGTGCCCACTGGGATCTGGAGCTCGCGGTTCAGGTCCGGCAGTGCCCACTGGGATCTGGAGCTCGCGGTCGCGGTTGAGGTCCGGCAGTGCCCACTGGGATCTGGAGCTCGCGGTGGAGGTCCGGCTGTGCCCACTGGGATCTGAGGCGGAGGAGGCAGAGGAGGCGGAGGAGGCGGAGGAGGAGGAGGAGAACAGCTCTGATAAAATCTAACAACCCTCACCTGGCAGGTGGGGAAAAAGACGATTTTGAAGCACTTTTTACAAGGAATTTAAAAAGAAAATCTAGCAGCGCCAAAATTGAAAAAATCTGCTGAACAATCGTTATCGCAGCCTTGATGCAGCCACTCCAATACGATTTACGATGTCCACCTGCAAAAGACAAAAGAATTACGCACACAGCCGCCGCGCCAAGCAACCTTGACGCAGCCACTACAATGCGCGACTACCCTCACAAAGTAAAAGTTGAAGATGTGAAAACGAAGCTTTCGTGCGAGACCTCCCTCAAAAAGTGAATGTTGAAGATGTGAAACCGAAGCTTTCGTGCAAGACCTCCCTCAAAAAGTGAAAGTTAAACATGTGAGAACGAAGCTTTCGTGCGAGACCTCTCCCTCCAAAAGTGAAAGTTGAAGATGTGAAAACGAAGCTTTCGTGCGAGACTCCTTAAAGCTCAAAATTTGAAAATGAAGCCTAAACTGGCAGTTCCAATGCGCGGCCGATCCGAGCATGATCCGGGTTCAAACGAACGTGTTCCGAAACCATCCGCCGGACAAGCTTCCCCATCCATCTTCCGGGACTCGTTTTGTCCTGCAAACCAAAGCATTTCGCGCATCCGCTAACTCTCACAAACGCATTTCGTGCGAGATTTCCCTCAAAAAGTGAAAGTTGAAGATGTGAAAGCAAAGCTTTCGTGCAAGACCTCCCTCAAAAAGTGAAAGTGGAAGATGCGAAAACGAAGCTTTCGTGCGAGACATCCCTCAAAAAGTGAAAGTTGAAGATGTGAAAACAAAGCTTTCGTGCGAGATCTCCCTCAAAAAGCGACAGTTGAAGATGTGAGAACGAAGCTTTTGTGCGAGACTTCCCTCAAGTGAAAGTGGAAGATGCGAAAACGAAGCTTTCGTGCGAGACCTCCCTCAAAAAGTGACAGTGGAAGATGTGAGAACGAAGCTTTCGTGCGAGACCTCCCTCAAAAAGTGAAAGTGGAAGATGCGAAAACGAAGCTTTCGTGCGAGACCTCCCTCAAAAAGTGAAAGTTGAAGATGTCAAAACGAAGCTTTCGTGCGAGACCTCCTTCAAATTTTGAAAGTTCAAATTGTGAAAATGAAGCCTAAACTGGCATTTCCAATGCGCCGCCGATCCGAGCATGATCCCGGTTCAAATGAAAGTGTTCCGAAACCGTCCGCCGGACAAGCTTCCCATCCATCTTCCGGGACTCGTTTTGTCCTGCAAAACATAGCATTTCGTGCATCCGCTAACACGCAAAAACACATTTCGTGCGAGATTTCCCTCAAAAAGTGAAAGTTGAAGATGTGAAAACGAAGCTTTCGTGCAAGACCTCCCTCAAAAAGTGAAAGTGGAAGATGTGAGAACGAAGCTTTCGTGCGAGACATCCCTCAAAAAGTGATAGTGGAAGATGCGAAAGCGAAGCTTTCGTGCGAGACCTCCCTCGAAAAGTGAAAGTTGAAGATGTGAAAACAAAGCTTTTGTGCGAGACTTCCTTCAAAAAGTGAAAGTTAAAGATGTGAGAACGAAGCTTTCGTGCGAGACCTCCCTCAAAAAGTGAAAGTTGAAGATGTCAAAACGAAGCTTTCGTGCGAGACCTCCCTCAAAAAGTGAAAGTGGAAGATGCGAAAACGAAGCTTTCGTGCGAGACCTCTCCCTCCAAAAGTGAAAGTGGAAGATGTGGAAACGAAGCTTTTGTGCGAGTGTTCCCCCAAAACCTCAAAGTGGAAGATGTGAAAACAAAGCTTTCGTGCGAGACCTCCTTTCAAAAGTGAAAGTTGAAGATGTGGAAGCGAAAGTTTCGTTCGAGACTTCCTTTTCATAATTCAGTCATCTAATGCGAATTCCATTCAGTTCAGTTCAATTCAACTCAGTTCAATTCAATTCAATTCAGTTCAATTCAATTCAGTTCATTCAATTCAATTCAAGTCAGTTCAAATTAATTCAAGTCAATTCATTCAATTCAATTCAATTCAGTTCAATTCAGTTCAATTCAATTCAACTCAATTCAATTCAGTTCAATTCAATTCATTCCTTCATTCTTTCATTCTTGTCAATCATAAATATCCGTAACACGGAAGTTCCTTCAAACTTCCTTTGATTATCTTATCTTATCTTATTCTTTTCTTATCTTATCTATATATATACATCTATCTAACTATCCACCTATCTGTGTATTTACGTTTTTGTTTATCTATCAATTTTTATTATGTCTCACCTTCTCTTCTCGTCGTATCTTACCTGTCTATCCTGCCTATCAAGAGGGAGAACTGGATCAGTCACATTTTCTGGTGGATGAGGCCAGTTATCACAACTCAGCAGCCAACCACCTCCAGCTGAAATTTCTTGATGGTGAATGATTTAGGACTTGACCACTGTTTTTGTTTGAAGTGGCAGATGAAATTTTGCTGGAGTGTTCCGCATTGTTGGATGATGGATGAAGCTATCTTTGGTTTGCTGGTAAAACCGTTTTTTGTTGCAGGCGGGGGTAGTGACCCGGCCCTAGACATTTGAGATTGCAAAACACACACACATATATATATGTACACATGATACATATGATTATACGTATTTACATATGTACATGCATACATAATGCAAATATAAACAATAATAAGCAATAATACAATACTAAAAATAATACATACATATATATGCACATACGTATGTAATACATAATACACAGATGTGTGTATGTGTGTATATATATATATTATATTATACCCGCACATACATATATGTATATATATATACACACATCCAGGCA